GTATTTCCTGCCAAATTCGATCCAATTGTCGAACGAGGTCATCAACATTCCGTGCCAGATGCAATCGCCTTCCCATCATATCCCAGACATGCTCGATGGGAGAGAGATCTGGTGATTTGGCAGGCCAAGGAAGAGTTTGACAAGCTTGCAGACAGCTCATAGCAACACGTGCCGTATGTGGTTTGGCATTGTAATGCTGAAAAACCAGCCCAGGGAGCTGCAAAAGGAACGGTAACAAAACAGGTCTTAGGATGTCGTCGACTTACAGCTGTGCAGTAAGTGTACCTCTAATAACGACCAAAGGGGTCCGGCTGTCAAAGGAGATGGCACCCCAGAACATAATGCCTTGTTGAGGGCCGGTGTGGCGTGCAATAGTGAAGGCAGGATCTCCCCCTCTGCCCTGTGCGTTTCCTAACACGTCTTCGATGATCATCAGGACACAGTTGGAAGCGGGATTCGTCGCTGAAGACTAAACGTCCCCAGTCGGCATCATTCCAGCCATATCTGTTCAAAACATTCAGGCATACGAAAATTCAAAGCAATCGGATGATTGCTTCTTGATGCGTCGATTTTTTTTGTTACAGAGTGTATTCTTTAATTAATTTAAAAAGTGAGTTCTGCATAAAAATAAACTGTACATTTTAGGACAAAAAGAGTTTTATACTCATTTTTACAAATTAGGCTAGCTTTATTGTATATAATACTTATTTTAATATTCAAGCAAACAATAATATGTGCGAAAACTGTATTTCAATAGGGATTTCTTAGAAAACTTACTCCATTGTAGGAACTTTACTAAAATGTACAAAAACTAAGAGAATTTTTGTTAAACCAGTGGATCAGAAGAAACTGGAAAAATCCAGCAGTCTACTGGGAAATCCATTTTCTTTTATCTTGAATTGATTTATGTAAAGCTGGCAAGTGCCCCATATGCCTCTGGCTCTGCTCGTGAGTTCTCCTCTACGCCACCTGTAGCCCATTTCGATCGCCAATTACGGAACATCCTGTAAAATAATAATTTATCCCCACAGGTAGGATATGGCTCATGTGTTGCTGCCATGTGATCTTCCCTTTTGGCCAGACATCTTACTATCTCTTTTTCAAGTGAAAACATGTAAAGACACGAGGCAATTCGTTCAACTCATGACGCATATTCATCACATCGCATGGTGAGTTATCTCTCTCTCTCTCTGATGTTTGTTTTTGCGCGGAGAGAAACAATAATAAAGAACTTCAGTTTGAGTACGTTCAACTCGAAGCAAAGCTGTACATTTTAAACTAAAAACTGCCAAAAAGTTTATAAATTTTAAAAAGTTATTACACATTATAAAAACCACCCATACGCCACCAAATTATTGCAACGAAGTTTTGGTGCCATTTTCATGAAACTGTTTGCTTAACCATTTTTATAAGATTATCTAAAGATAGACAAACATGATATGAATTAGTTATAAATTATTTGTAAAAAGAACGTTGTTTCGAAAACAGTCATTTTAGAAATATATTTAACATTTTTGCTCTACAACTTGCATCCTTTATTGGAGACGAATTGTTCTGTAATTTTGGAAATAGTCATAAAGAAATTGCAGAATTATATCTTTTTATTTCTGATAAAAAAAAAATTAACCGTGAATCTTTTCATTTATCTCACTAGTTTTTTTGAAATTTAATTGTTTAAAAATTACTTCACCAATTCAGAATTTTGCCATTTAAAATATCTTTTTTTGTGTCGGTGGTAGGCTCCTAATTTTTACAAACACTTTGCTTTAAAAAAAAAAAAAAAAAAAAAAAAAAAAAAAAAAAAAAAAAAAAANAAAAAAAAAAAAAAACGACCACCCTGGATAACTTTTTATCTTTCTAATGTTTGGATCTTTACGTTCTGTGACTTAATCTTAATGGTTCGAGGGCTTAACCTCAAATATGCTAATTGATTACTACAAACGATATTTTAGCTTACGAAATCAGACACAAAAATGTATTTTTTCTAAATAAACATATCTCTTTTTTTATGACTGATTTGGATATTTGACCCCTAAAATATAGCGGGGAGCCGCAATCTGGGAAATATAATCCCCAGAATTGGAGTCAGGAGAGCGTTTCCCAAAGTTTGGAACTCTTAATGTTAATTTTACCTTTTGCGTGTTTCACCATGTGTCGAGAACTTTTTAAGCGAATTGAAAATTTTTTGCATAAAATTCGCTTGTCCAAAGATAATTCTGAGCAAAAAATTTTAGTAAATATGTATTATTTTATTTAATATTAGTCGAAAATAATTTGAACTGTAAGGTACAAATTTTTTTTACCTCACTTCAAAATGCGTAATTTTACATGGAAAAATAAAAAAATTTGAGCAAAATCGGTCGAATAGTTCCTGAGAAATCAAATTTTTAATATAAATTTTTTTTTAATTCAGAGAAAGTAGGTTTTTGTGTCTGATTTCGTAACTTAAAATATCGTCTGCACTTATCAATTCGAGCATGTTCGAGCTCACCCCCCCCCGCCCCATTAAGATTGAGGTCTAGAGCTTGACGATCCAATCATTAGATAAAAAATTCTTTAAGAAAGTCCGATTTTTTCTTCTAATTTTTCTATAAAGAGTAAATGATATAATGCGGGTCTCTAGACATAATAAAATCGTAATCTGTGAAGGAAAAGTCAATTCTGAGGAGGTCAATTAAGTCAATGTAAAAAATTGCAAGTCTCGATTATTATTGAATTGAAGAAAATAAAAAAAATAATTACAATAAATAATAACTATTCAACATATTTTCATTCGCTGCAACAATTTTAAAATTTAGAGACAACTCCATTTCTGTAGATTAAATCCATCATTGACTTCATTAATTGGAGATAACCCACATTATATCATTTTCTTTTACCTCAAGGACATTGGTGTCTATGCATCAATCTAGCTTTTAACCCACAACCTAGATGCATAAAATTCACCTAGTTGTAGGCGTGGTATAGCCGCAACTGTCTCTTGCTCCAAAAATCTCTAAACAAAACAAAAAAATAATAATTTAGTTGAAATTTATCCGTGTTTCAAATGAATTTCCTTTTTTTTAAGTGTTTCTCTAGATCCGGAAGAAGAGGATGTTCCCCAACCAAAATTATTCCAAGAATTGGAACGTTTTTTTAAAGATGAATTCTCAGAAGATGAGAGGTGTCACTTCATGCATCAAACATTGCCTGTCATGGCATCTTCAGCATCCAGACTACCCTACTTGAGACCACAAGATGGATTTTTTTACAGTCTCTGCCAGGAAGGTAATCTGACCCATATAATACTTTCTTAAAAATGACTCTCAATATCAACCCAAGTCCAAACTCTTGATGGTCTCATCAAATCATTTTGATGATTTATGTTGGTTTCATCATTTGATGACTACCATCATCCAACATTTTCCATTGTATGTTCATCGTTTTTGATATGCCAACAAACTTCCTTCATTCCTTGATGGAAAATGCTACTTTAATACTATGATGGCTAATCATCAAGAGAAGTTTGATTTTCATGGACCAACAATCCATGATGGTTCCAATTATACAATTCCATGATGGTTTATTGGGAATGATTGTTGGCTCTCAGGAATATACCAACAAAACAATTTGTCTGTTTTTTTATGTTGGCTCATCATAAATCAGTCCGAATTCCTACATTGGGGTGATGGTTACTTATGTTGTTCACCATCAAAAACTAAAATGATTCATGATGAAATAATTGATGGTTACCATCAAGATTATATTAGTCCATAAATGGAAAACCATCAAAAAGTTTGACTTGGGAACACAGTGAAACCTGGATAGTTCACTACCCTTTTCACAACAAAAACAAGATTCATCTAAAATACATGTCCTGACACACTGACTAATTCATAAGAGCAACTAATGTAGCTAGAAACATGAAATTTGGACAATAGGTTTCGTTAATGACGAAGGCACCCGCTAACGAACTATTTTTTGACATTCCTCCTCTAAGGAAATCAAATAGAACTTGAAAACTTGTTTGAAAAACCACCAGTTTTCGCCATTTTCTTAGATTGTCTTTAGTAATAATTTAAGTAGATTTAAATAATTATTTATACGTTAAGTATGTATTTGGATTCATTTTGTTAGGTAGTCTTTGATAGTTTAAGTAGTGTTGAATAGTTAGCAATATGTTAAAATTTTATTTAGAGTAATTTCGTATTTTTTATAGAAATATAAAAACATAGTTACGAAGTTATTTCTTAGATTTATTTTAGGCCCTCTCTAAAATTGCTATAGAAATTTCAAACACAAGCAGCGCTATGGTGCCGCATACTGCCATGCAAATTATTGGTGACAGAGATTGCCTTTTTCTGGGAATAGTATAGAGATATTGTACATTACTCGAATTATGGCTCAAGAGGTGCGTGAGGAAGTAGTGCAGCGAGTAATGGAGCATTAGAGGATGAGGTTATGATCTGATCTCACGACAGAAATGGATGAAAGTTTGAAATTTCTGCAACCTACTGTCCTAAACTCAGACTTACCGCTGTTAGTGTGATTTAATGGTTGACAGAGAGATTTTAAATTGTTACTGAAATTTAATAAATAGAGAACTTTGACTATGTCATGGACATCTGTTGAAAAAAGTTAAAATTGAAACAAGTTCTTCCGTTGAAACAGTTAATCTACCTGTCCTGTGGGCAGGTAGATTAACTGTTTCCACGGTATCAACCGGAATCACGGTCAACCAATCTAATAGATGGTTGACAGTGTAAAAATAAACGCAGATGACTCTGGGGGTCAATTCGCCGTAAGTCTTCGGGGTTACTACTGCTGACTGATTTTAACAATTAAGCTTGAAGAAAAGTACCATCCAATATCAATGTACTTTTTATGATTTTTTATAATAACCGTCATTGAACAGCTGACCCAATTTAATGAGTTTACGACTACTAATGTTCAACTCCGTAACCTTGTAATTTTGAACCCAATACAGAAGACAAAGGAACTCCTGGATCAAGTATTCGTTGAAGACTTTTTGTTGGAGCTAACCCACGTTTACGTTACATGGAGAGGAAGACCACGAGAGCCTCCCACGGTTAGCCTGACGGCAAGGGGACTCTAACCCATGATCCGTCTACCACTGAGGATATTTCACGTCAGCACTGTAGTCGGTGCAAGCTGGATGCGGAATTCATATCGACTGGGATTCGAGCCCGGTTCGCCTCTTTGGAAGGCGAATGCTCTATCCTCTCAGCCGTCGCGGCTCTATATTATTATGCTTGTAGTGTATTGAATATAAAGCGTCCTTCCAATTTAACTTTTAACGAAACAAACAACAAATGAATTTGGAAGACTCCGCAAGCTTGCTATGATGCTAAACCAAAATAAAACAAGCAGCACTATTTTTTACAAATATAGTCAAATGAGGGAAAACACTCAAATGATGGCAAGCCTTACACTTTAGAGCCGCAGTAGCTCAGGGGATACAGTGTTCGACTTCCAATGAGGTGAACCGGGGTTCGATCCCGGCGATGGCTATTCGATATGAATTGCGCATCCGGTTTGCACCGACCACAGTGCTGACGTGAAATATCCTCAGTGTTAGACGAATCCATGGGTTCCGTCAGGCTAACCGTGAGGGTTCTCGTGGTCTTCCTCTCCATGTAACGCAAATGCGGATCAGTTCCATCAAAAATTCCTCCATGAAGGCAAATTTCTCCCAATCCAGGAGTTCCCTTGCCTTCTGGATTGAGTTCAAAATTACAAGGCTACGGCGTTGAATATTAGTAGTCGTAAACCCAAAATTTAGAGCTGCTATTCAACGACGGTTATAAAATAAAATAAAACTATAGGTGTAGCTCCCATCGAAATAGAAAAACAAAGTATCAGTTATTAGTGTATTTAAGTTCTGGTAAAAAAAAAATATATAATTGGCAATTTCTTTTTTGTTTTTTGTGAGTAGATGGAGAATTTCACTTGGATCGAGAAATGGTGGCGTCCTTATTGGCTAATGCTTTCTTCTCGACATTTCCAAGAAGGAATTCCAAGACACACCCCACCTTACAAGACTTCAATTTTGTTCACTTCTTCCCTCATCTTCACAAGTAAGCAAGGATTGTTTCAAAATATATATTTAAAAACATCGAAATGGATGGTCGACCGAATGCAAACTATAGCAAGCTTTCTAAAACCGAAAGAAATTTAGAGAACTTCCGGTGTATCCCTCCGCTTATCTATCATTTATGGTATAAAAAATTCAAGAAACTTTAACTGATCCTTATTACTCACTTTTCAAATAGAATAAGCGAACGCGCCTCGAGACAAAGCGATTTTCGCACTCTCTTCCCTTTTCTCCTCTCCGTTACCATGGTATCCGCAAGTCTTCTTTTTCCCCACGTCATTTCCGTAGCCATTATAACGGAGAGGCGAAACGTTTGGAGAGTGGGAAAATCGCGCAGCCTTGACACGCCTATTCTACTTAAAAAGATTGTAACTTGAATTCATATCTTTCTTTTGGTAAATTAGAATTGTTGGAATGGTATGTTACTCCGCTGAGTTGATAATAATCCTCTGGCTACAGGTTTATTTTCTTTTACAGATTACATAAGTGACATGCAATTACTGCAAAACTTGCGTTAAAGGCATGCATTTTTCGAAAGCAGGCCTCTTCAAAAAGTCGCGTCGCTTTACGTAGGCGTTGTGTCCGAGTGATGCACTATGTCACATTCCTATGTTTTAGCTAGTTAAATATTTTTCATATGTTTGCTATATGTTTAGTAAAAAGTGTTCGAGTATGTATATGACTATGCATTCTACGTCCACTGCGCCAACAGAATTTGAAAAACAGCACTCGACTCAAAATGCCTTACTTCTCCAGAATTCTCCAGAATTAATCGCCTTATTGCGATCACTGGTCACCCATTGGTCAAGTGCTTTTTCTTTCTGGTTCGACTCCGATAAACGCCACAACATTTCAAATCATAGATTGCAAAAACTGTCTCAATTGATGTTTGTTGTTCGATGATTGATTTTCATATCCTGGCTATGAACGTGTTTCAAGACGTCACAAAACACTTTTCCTTCTTCAGCATTCATATTTATATTAAAATCACCGTCAAGCCAGTAATTATACGTTATAAATAAAAAGAATATTAAAAATACTTTCAATTATTATTATGTAAATACCTTAAAATGCCTGCTAGTGAAAATAAAAAGAAAAACAGCAGTTGTCGCCATAGCAACGCATGCAATGATGGCGCATGCGCACTGTTTGCTATTACTCTTGAAAACAGTAGAAAAGTGTGTGAACGCCATCAAATCCAAACCAAGACCCATTTCGCCAATGGGTAATAAATAAAAGCATTGAAAGGGCATAATTCTGTAATTTTAGACGACTCTCTTGTAAAATAAGAAATATAGTTTATATTGTTAAATAAAATATGTGTTATGAATTTTTAAAAAAATTATAAATATTTGTTTTCAGGCAAAACCACCGGCAGAAATTGAAGGCATTCTTCCGATATTTTGATAAGTTGAACGACAAAAGAGGAGGCCACATCTCTGTCAGAAGAAAGGTCTTATTTGTTTTACTTTCTATTTAAGGTCATTACTTCTGAATATCGTTTAATCGTAATCTTTCTTAAATCAAGAAAAAGTCATGTAAAGGCATAATTGGGAGGTAAATGCAGCGCTGTTATCGCTTGAAATGCTTTAGGAGTTTCAGTTTGAAAAATTTGGTTCAAAAAGTTAATATAAGTTTCTGCAGTTATCGATTTAGATGCAAAAGACCACATATATGATGATCAATTATTAAGGTTAAATATTTTTTTCTTTGAATTATAATAATTAAAACCATTGAAACTGCCGCCTACTGCAATTATTTCAATAGGCTGAGGGCATTTTCACATGTAATCCAAATTGGTTTTGTCTAGGGTTTCTTATTTATTTCACAAATATGACATTGTTTATTAAATTTTAATATCTAAATTAATATTTCCCCAAATTTTGTTTGAATCCCCGGATGACTGAATTTTATATGAGTAATTTCAAGTAATTTATGTCTTAAAGAAAACGGAACAACAATTTTGGTAAAACCCTTTTTTGTTTTATAAAACATTATCAATTTCAATGAAATTTCCAATTAAATTGTCATTTTGTTGGACTTCGCGAATTTCGCCTAATTGCAAAAGATGTGAAAAATGGCTTTCATTATTTATATCAATATTATTACTACACTATCCGGCCAAAAGTACGCGGACACCCAGTGGTACGGATTTTTGGCCGGATAGTGTATTATACTTCGAAACAACATGTCAGTCTCAAAGTTTAAGATGCCTCTTGTGTATTTCATATCATAATCATACTTACTTAAGATCAGCGGAAAGGCCTTCATTTTAAATTGTTTTACATTTGGGAGCCGAATTCATGCTGGATGGTCTGTAATCCTGGTGGATTTATTGTCAAATAAATAATGATGAGATTTGTTGAATGCATCAACAAAAGAAAGTCATTCAGATTCGGCGATAGTGTAATATTTTTTTTCATAGTCTCTTAAAGAACGAGGATGGAATGCACCTGAATGTAAAACACCTGATGTAAGACACCTGAAACATCTGGCTGTTTCAAAATTGCTTCGACCCCACTTTGACATGCGTCAGCAAAAATATGACATTGTAATTTAAGATTAAATATTCTTAAAACATATTTACAAATGAAAGCATTTTTTAAAATTTCGAATGCTTCTTGACATATGGGAGTCCAACACCAGTTTGTATCTGTTTTCAAGACGTTATTTAAAGGTGACCGGTGAGCTTTTAAATGACTTGCAAAAAGGGAAACGTCAGAAATTACAATTGGATCATTTAATAGTTTGAGGGAATAATGTGGATCTCACAGTTAGTAAAGGGAAAACTTTAAAATGTTAATTCATGATGCACACTTGAATCCAAAAATAAAATAAGAAAAAAGGATGCGAATAATAAAGAGTGAGAAAGAGCGTGTATGTATGTATCTATATATAAACCTTCCATAGTTAGCCCGATGACAAAGGGATTCTGACCCATGATCCGTCTACCACTGAGAATATTATACGTCTGGTTGGCGGCTACAGGGAACAGAGGTAACCTTGATTTGTATCCCAGCGATCGCTGGCTGCCGATAGCGACTAAACTACTAGTCAAATCTAGGTTACTTCAATGGGAGATAAGGGCTTTGTCACCATGACTCATTCAGTATATATAAGAACACTTTCATTTCTTTGTTTATAGATAGGGACTGGCCCATCCCTGACTAACTGGTTATGCTGCAATCAGTCTCTGGCACCATTTTCTGTTCGTAAGAACAACGATCAGATTCAAGACCTTCAGGTGAGAAATTTTTTATTCTTTGGCACAGAACAACAAGTGCCTTCAATTACAAACTCCCTCCCTATGGGGAATAGCAGGTGGGTAAAGAAGGGGATGAAACAACAGACAGAATTATTATTATCATTTTTTTTATGTCCTACTTCGAATATCATCCCAAAGGGAGTCTCGTTATTGCGACCGGCACCAGTACCTCCTAGAAAAGAGAAGGCCTCAGCATGGTTACCATAAGCAGGAAATTTGATCCTTAAGTAGTCCAAACGTAATGACATCTTTCGTAATTACCACCACTGCGCTGCTTAGTAGCCTGAAGTTTATGTTCGTTACGTCGTACTACTAAATTGATCCATGCTGAGGCCTTCTTTTTTCTAGGAGTTGCTGCCAGGGCTTAATTTATTTCGACTATTTCAGGCACGACACTCTAAAAAATTCCATGTTTCAGAGATTAATTTCTTCGAACGTAATTTTTCGTTTGCAAAAATTAGACAACCAAACAGGTTTTTTTTATTAAAAAAAAATGAAGCTTCAAAATTAGTTTGTGGAAGGAAACATATTATAAACGGGTACTGCAATCGCATTTGGCAGTATCTGTCGATATAGGCGAAGTTCGCCATCCAGTCACAGCTTGAGATATAAAGAGTGCGGTGTTTTAGATTCTTTATTAATTTCTTTTTCTGACAAAATCAGGCAAATACAATTCTGCAATCAACGATTTCTGAAAGATATTTATATGGTAAGCAGTTATTAGTTTTTAGATTTTTTGAAAACTATCTTTCTTTTTATGCAATTGCAATGCGTAATACAATGCTTTTTATGCAATCAAAGTGAAAAGAAATTTTTAGCGTTATCCAAATTCGCTTTTTATCAATTTAAACTGCAATAAGATAAGATTTCAAAAAATCTAAAAACTGAGAAACGTTAAGTTTTGAATTACTTACTCAATACCACAAATCGCATCATTTTATTTTATTATAGTTTAAAGAAAAATTTATTAAAAGTTCTAAAAATTATCAATCGTTATCGCTCTTAAAGCGACCCCCTTACCTTCCACCTCCTTTGATCTGTATTGTACTGCCTAATAATACTATATCATCAATTATTTGTAGTTTGTTAAGAACAAAAAAATATCGAGGAGCCTGGAATGGCGAGGGTTAAGGCCTTTCGAACGTGTTCCATTAAGTCTGTTTTTTGAGGGCTTCTTCGTAATATGAAATTATGCTTCTTTTTTTTTTTTTGCGAATAATATGCTATTTTCATAACTGCTGTGAGTTTGCAACTGATACTCATTACTTTTAGTTTTAAGTTTAGCCTATCTAAAACCAGCTCTGTCTACGCTTATTTGAAAATGGCGCAAAACGTCGCCACAGTTCTGTGAAATTGAAAAGCGTTTACGGTCTAATTTTTTAATATTTATATATGTTTACTCCAATGCTGCATTACTTGGGTTGATAAAAATGAGAAAAAACTGAGAATAAGGTAGTGATTTTGAAAATTTTCATGCAGGTGGAAAATTGTCGCCAAATTGGCGATTTCTAAAAAAGTTTAATAGCTTTCAAAATATATAAGTTATCTGTTTGTTCTAAAGCCTAGATAATTCTTCACTGCAAGATTACATATTTAATTTAAAATCTTCGCATTGCTTTAAGTGTAAGGCACTTAAACTATGGCTTTTTTATTTTCCTTGGTGACAGAGCTTCGAAAATCAGCCATGAAAATTAATAGCTTTTATTTATTTTTAAGGAGCTATTAGGTCAGTCAAATTAATAACTGCGTCTTGTATCTAATTATTTTTATTTACCACCATTAAATACTTTTTCTTATCCTTTAAGGCTGTTTTCCAATTTAACTCTTGTTAAAATAAATAAATCAAAATGCTCCAGTTTTTAGACTTTAAAAATAAAAATAAACTTAAATTTACTTTATTATTTAGCTAAAACAATTGACTGGAGTTAATAAATAATTTAAATATTAGCTTTAATAAATTCCTAATTTTTATGAGATTTTTGACTTAGATTAAATCGATGTCTTTTTATTATACCAGTAAAAACACTGCATTGTGAGAAAATATTAAAATAAAAAATATGCTAGGAAGGTGGATTGTTTTCATACTGAATTTTGCATCATTTTAGTATAGAGGGCGCTGACTAAATATGGACAAAACAATAATAACAATTACAAAGGTTATATAAAAAAAGGTAAAGGTTATGTAAAAAAAATTATCCTAACTTTTTTCCCTATTTAAATGCTTTGGTTTTTGAGCGAATCATATTCCAAAGAAGTAGAAAATATAATTTTATTTTAAAGATTCACAGTTTGTTTCAAATGAAGCTACTAAAATTTTATTCAGCAAACCTGATTGCTAAAATTTAAATTTAAATTAATTTTATTTCGACTAGTTTTCGTAAATATTTTTAGATATTTGAGAATACTAAAAATTTTGAATTTACACGAATAGAATTTTTAAACGTTGTTATTACAAAAATAAACTTTTTTTATGTTCTCTAAAACTCTAAAGTTATACAATTATCTGTGAAAATTTGATTGCATCTAGTTTTGAAACATCTAAAATTATTATGTTATACAATTACCTGTGAAAGTTTGATTGCATCTATTTAAACATGACTATAGAGTTATAGTTTGAGTTTAGTTTGACTATAAAGTATTATTATTTAATAAAAATCAAGTTTCAAAAATAAATTAGAAAAATTCGTGTGCTTCTGTGATACTACGTTGAAACTAAAAACAGTATTAAAAACAATATGTTAACACTTTTATCATACTTATGTGTGTTTGTTTAATACAGAGGGTCAAGCATAGATTGATCAAACTCAATTATTTTGTAGATAATTATGCAAAACTGTTATTTAGTATAAGTAACACATTTAAATACTAAAACATACTTTTTTAAAAACTTGTTTAGGTATGCAGAACATCTTCTATGATTGGAGGCGATGTCATAAAAACATCGACTTCAGAGGTACAAATCTTTCTTTATTTGGTTATAATTTCTTATCAATTTTATAATGGTCAATTACTTCACAGACTGATCATTTCGCCGACTTGATCACTTAGCTGATACGGTCACTTTGACTCTACGATCTTTTCGCCGATACGTTTTTGCCATCTGCTGAATCCTTTTCATCGCCACCATCATTTCGCTGACAACATCGTTGACATCGTCAACGCGATCTTTTTAGATTCCATCACGTCACCTACACAATAATTTCGTCAACATATAAATTTTCTTGCCTCGTGTCAAAAAATGCTTTTTGCTTTAATAATTAGGTTACGTTAATCGCAATAAATTACTATTTATTTTTCATTATTGCTTAGAAAAATATTCATTAATTACATAGAGTATTTTTTCAAGCTATATATTTCGGCATCACCTAAATTAAGTTCTATGCAACTTAAACTGCGCAAGATTTAACAGGATATTATAACCTATATATGATACCTTTGGGAATGGAAAACTAATCATTAAGTTAAACAAATAATCCCAAAAAACTAAAGTGTCAATTTGATTAAAAATTTAATTTGCTTCGAAAGTATGCAAATGGAAAATAACAACAAAAAAATTCGCCTTTCAAACACATACAAATGACCGTCTTAAAAATGGGAGTGATCAGTGTGCTGGTGGGTGACCACTTGGATCAATCTGCGTAGGGATCGAGGGTGTGCGGTATTGGTTCTCGTTAAACTGTTCTACCGTAAAGTGCTCGGCTTCGCGTACAAGTCGTCAGGCTACCAAAGAGGGGCTGCCATCCCCTCTGCGGAGGATCAAAATTGTGATGGCATGTCTTCGGATCATCCTCAGGAATGTTTCCCAGATCGTCGCCAGTAGCCCGTTGTGTAGCTCAAGTTCGACGTAAATGAACAAATCAAATAAAAATTAGAACTAACCTTTGTCGACAGTCATTTCCAATTCGTATATTTTTGAAGCGAATCCAGTAATCATTCAATGATTTTGCATTTTTCCCTCCGGTGTCACACGAAGTTGAAATTTATTCCAAGCAGAATTTTACTTAGGGAATTTATTTCACTTCCAAATCAGACCGACAGTTCAGCCGGAGTGGTGGATAGAGTATTTGCCAACCACGACTTGACCAGAGTTTGTTCCCGGTGACTTCAAAGCCAGAAAAAGTCCACAAATTGTTCGGAAGCTTGATGCGGAGGCCGGGCGATCACTTACCACTGCTTGCCTACCGATCTAAATTCAGATTGTGTAATACACGTGTGCGTCAGTATTGTTTTCGGATAATCATTGAGGATAAAACCTAGACGACGTTGACAACCAAAAGTGCTACCTTACAGAACGATTAAAAAGTATTTACATTAATGAAAATGTGTGAATCAAGTTTACAATGAAATATTCTTATTTTATAGGAGTCGGAGCTTTTCTTCAAATTTCCTGAATTGATAGTCATACTCTGTTTTGTGGAAAGCTTATCGGAGTCTGAAGTTCTTATTGTTAAAGGTATTGCTCAGGTATTGGTTTTATTTGATACATTAGAGTGTTGTTCAAATTCAAGCATCACATGTAAACAACCTTATTTTTACAACCACGAACATCAAAATTGCTCTGGGGTAAAAAGCAGGATTATCTAAAACCATTTTGCTCGTCGGTAAAAACTTTGCATGGTATTTATTAAAAAGGAACAAAGCGAAATACTTAAGCATTTTGGTAAGAAACAGAATATTTTTTACAGGCCCTCAGCAAAGGTACCTCAAGCCTTGTCCTGAATATCATAGAATAACTTGGACAACTTCAGCGTCTCCGGAAAAATTGCTTCTTGCAGTGGATTCCCGCCCATGTGAACCTAGAGTTCAATGAAATAGCTGATNCCAATTTGTATATTTTTGAATATATCAGCTTCAAATTCTACAAATAGAAAGTAACCAAAAAAAATGCACACATTTCAAACACGTACAAATGACCGTCTTAAAAATGGGAGCTAACCTTTGTCGACAGTCATTTCCAATTTGTATAGTTTTGAATCGAATCCAGTAATCATTCAATGATTTTACATTTTTTCCCTCTGGTGTCACACGAAGTTGAAATTTATTCCTATCAGAATTTTATTTAGGGAATTTATTTCATTTTTAAATCAAACCGACCGTTCAGCCGGAGTGGTGGGTAGAGTATTTGCCAACCACGACTTGACCAGAGTTTGGTTCCTTGCTCTAAAAGTTTAAATTGCAATTCTTCTAACGTGTCTAAATAGTTTGAAATCTGTTGTAATGTTCCCGGTGATTTCAAAGTCCACGAATGGTTCGGAAGCTTGGTGCGGAGGCCGGGCGATCACTTACCACTACTTGCCTACCGATCCAAATTCAGATTGTATTATACACGTATGCGTCAGTATTGTTTTCGGATAATCATTGGGGATGAAACCTAGATCGACGTTGACGGAACCTTACAGAACGATTAAAAAGTAGTTATATTAATGAAAATGTGTGAATCAAGTTTGCAATGAAATATTCTTACTTTATAGGAGTCGGAGCTTTTCTTCAAATTTCCTGAATTGATAGTCATACTTTGTTTTGTGGAAAGCCTATCGGAGTCTGAAGTTCTTATTGTTAAAGGTATTGCTCAGGTATTGGTTTCATTTGATACATTAAAGTGTTGTTCAAATTCAAGCATCACATGTAAACAGCTTTATTTTTACAACAACGAACATCAAAATTGCTCAGGGGTAACAAGCAGGATTATCTAAAACCATTTTGCTCGTCGGTAAGAACTTTGCAGGGTATTTGTAAGTGAAATATTAAAGCAATTCGGTAAGAAACAGAATATTTTTACAAATATGAGAAAACTATGTTAACACAATAGTATTCCAAAGCGGGGTTTAAACGTACGAGGATGGTAAATCAAGTAATGGCGACATACCTGAAAAACATTGTTTTAATAAACGTACAAACAAAATTGTTATACATTCGTACAGTAATAAAATCCTTTTGCTAGTAAGCGTCGTTTGCAAATTGATACCAGCCTGGATCACAAATTTGATAAACTGAACCCAGCTTCAACAGGATAATTCAGTAGCTAATATCAAAGTTCATTGTTATCCTGTATGACCCACGTGATTTCCCGAAACATTGTTGCCAGCACAAAAGTCCCTCGTAAATTATAGAATAGTTGGCGTATGTACAACGCAACTTTTGGCATTCACTGAATCAGGAATCGTTTTTAAATTCTAAAATCTCTATTTCAGGATAATTTGGAGACACCTGACCTCAGCTTCTGCTTTACAGACTTTGTGCCCATTCATCGGTTAGAGGAACAAGTTTTGCTCAAGGAATTAAACAAGGCCACTGCAGCCTTCAGCGATGACCTCGATTTCTTCTCCGGAACCTCGAGAAGATCATCCCAAGAGCTTTCCAGAAGCTTCTCCCGCTCTGAGAGATCTTCTTCGTCCGTAAATCTTTCCAAAAGATCTTCTCAGGATGTTTCAGGAAGTGTGTCCAGTAAGAGACTGTCGCAGGAGGGTAGCAGAAGGTCTTCCCAAGACTCGATGGGGAATCTTTCCAGGCGGTCTTCCCACGAATCTTTTTCGAATTCCAGTAGAAGGCACGATGTTTCGAGAAGATCTTCTCACCAGGAAGTTCCAGCGAGTTGTAGTCATGCTGAAATCTACCATCCTGCATCGAAAGAGGAAGATAAGTCTAAAATACATTTAAGGAAGCGATCACTGGTATGACTATTTAATTTATATAAAATTTAACGTTTTTTTTATATAATACAATATGAGGATTTCCAGGACTGCCGAATAACTTTTTATCTAATGACCGGATTTCCATGTGCTCTATCTTAATGGTTTGTAGGGATGACTTCAAACATGCTAAGTGCAGACGAAATTTTAAATTACGAAAACAGACACAAAAATGTACTTTCTCTGAATAAGCATTTTTGTTCTATGGATCTGGATTTATGATCTTCAAAATATTAGGGGGGATAGAGGTAACCACAACCTAGGAAACCAATAGTTTCGTCAGGAGAGCGATCTAAAGTTCGAACCCCTTATTGTAAATTTTACTTTTTGTGTATTTCGCCATATCTCGAAGATTCTTAAGCAATCTGAAACAATTTTGCATACTATTATAAAATTCGTTTATCCAGGGATAATACCATTCAAAAGAATGATATGTAATAATTATTTGTTATTTTATTTAATAATAATCAGAAAAAATTTTTTATAGTATTAAGGTATACAAACTTTACATCACTTTCACTTCACATCAAAGATCAATACGAAATTTGAACGAAATCTTTTAAATTGTTCTTGTGACATCAAATTTCAATTTTTTTTCAACGACCTCGAACCATTAAGATTGAGCTATTCAGGTTGTCTCATTTTTTCGCACTGCACTTGTATATAAAAGTTTCAAACACAACTCCTCGTTCGGAATGGGTGATGATATCCATGATTTAGCTATTTTTTTCGGTTTTAAACTATGAGTATTATACTACTCCTGCTCTTCGAACGATCCTTTTGAAAAACTTATGATTAAGAAACTGAAAACTAGTTAAAACTGAACATGGTTAACGGATTTCGTTAACGATTGCAAAATTAATATTTAGGTGAGGAAAAAATGCCTTCGAAATCAGACAAACTACTGTGGCGGTAGGCGAGAGTTTGTAAGAACGATTCTTCGATTTAGTCTCAACTGGTACATCAAGCACCTTCAACAATAGATCTCCGAATTGTCAGATTTTGATAGCATTTTTGTTTTTTCATCGGCCACTTGCGACCACAACTTTTATGTTAATATGAAGACAAGTGCTGGCAAAAATCTGGAAAGTTGCGACTTTTAATTGGCTTTTGTAATAACGAGGCTCCAAATAACATAATCGTAAACCAGTGGTCTGAAAAACTGCATTATTTTCGTACGACAACTACAACTAATTTGTTACAAATATAGTTAACTACTACTTTTTTTAAAATGTAGTTACTACAAACTACTTTGGAATTGCAGTAACTACTTCGCTACTTTAAGGAGGCAAACTTACATTTAACGTAAGCGAATAATTAAGACCATTAACTATCATGTTAGCTTTGATAAAACGTGAAGCTGAGCAGTGCTTTAAAAGTAATAGACGTTTAACAAAAAAAAATTCTATTATAATCTTTTAAATTTAATCTTAATGTACTTTTATCTTTAAATAAATTTTTATTAAATATATTTTTAGGAAACAAAAAAGTGGTCCAGTAGTAAAAGTAGCAGTCAAAGCTCGGGACGGTAATTTAAATTTTTTTTTCTTCATTCCTTTATAACCTCTTAATTACCCTTTGAAAAAATTATAAGTATTACTTCAGAAATTTTATCCAATCGATAAGAACTTAAAAATAATAAGTCAAAATGAAAGCAACAGCTAAAACCAAATTTGTCTTGTGTAAACAATTTAAATAAAAAGTTAAAAACTAAAAGCAAGCGAAACGAAATTTTAAAGATAGGTGTGTTAGCAAAAACAGCACTTCATCAAATCTTATCTCAATTGATCAAATCTTATGAATCAATCTTACATCAATTGATCAAATTGAAATTGATCAAATCTTACCTCAAAATTTGGTCCTCTGATGAAGAGCTGTACTTGCAAACACACATATCTTTAAAATTTCGTTTCGCTTGCTTTTGGTTTCTAACTTTTTATTTAAACTGAAATCTTTTTTATTATTTGTCAGAAAAAATTTTCTGATGATAACAAAAGCGACAATATACCAGTACATTAATTCCAAAATATTGATTACTTTTATTGTTACTTTCTTCCTATCTCTTAATCTTTAAAAAAATCTTTTAAAAATTAATAGGCATATCCTAGCGATGGTAGAAGAATTCTTGCAATTTGAATACCGCTATCCCTAGCGATGGAAGTAGAAGAATTCTTGCAATTTGAATACCGCTATCCCTAGCGATGGAAGTAGAATTATTGCAATTTGAATACCGCTATCCCTAGCGATGGAAGTAGAAGAATTCTTGCCATACTCAATGATTTGAAAAAATGTATCCCCTTTTCAGAGTATGTGGTCTTTTTATGCAAAATTTATAACCAACCAAAATTCCGACCACTTTCTGACTGACTAGAGTGTCCACACTTCCACTGGAACTCTGTGTCAATGACATTGCAAGTTACAGTCGTTTTCTGATCACTATAAACAGAATCTATCGACAAGTGGAATATAAAGTCGATCAAAATTTTTATGAGCTAGAGTGCTCTAACTTCAACTGGAATTCTGTGTTTAGCGCCAATACAAGTTACAACTGTTTTAAAAAAAGTGCGAGCAAAAATAATGGTAGTTGCATGACAAATCGAAATATTGGACACTTTCCGACATCACAAGCAGACGAAAAAACTGAAATAATCATGAAAAAATATGAAACTAAAATAACTACTAACTAATAAAAATATTGAATAACTGAAGTTCGATTCAGTCCTGACTCAGAAAAGGGAACTCAAATCGATAAAAGTAGATTTGAAAAATAAAAAATCGATTTTAAAAAAAAAGATTACTTTTTTTTTTTGAGAGAGAAGAGGGGTGATTATTTTTAGAACTCTGAAAGCCAGTGTGGGGATAGTATATATCGAACATGTCAACCGTCAACTTTGAAAAGATACCCCGTCGTAAAATTGAGTTAACATGTCTTATATCAGGGAGCAATACTAAATTTGAAAATCACTGAGGGCGCATATTTTACAGATAATCAACAGGTATAAATAGGCATTAAAAAAAACAAATTTTTTATAACTTTATTTTGTTGATGTCATACATAATGATACATATAATTCAGTGTGAAACTTGGGTGTCCATATTTTCAGCTAATTTCTCATAATTGGGGATATATTTAGAGTTCCCGGTCCTTAAACAATTATCTAAATGTGAGTCATTAAGCTTTGTTCGGTATTTTGATTTCAAATATTTCATATTTGAGAACAAAGACTCGCAATTGTATGTTGTTGCACAATATGAATACATTTTTAGCGCACATNATAATACAGGGTGTTCCAAAATTATCTTTACATCACCTGGCTTGAAATTGATTACAGACTGGAAGTGCTTAGGGCCACCAATGGTGCGCATGTTGAAGTGTACTAAACAAAACTTTATTAGTTGCAGTAATACATGCAAAAGACAGAATATAAATATCTTGTTTATTTTCAAAGTTATGGATTTTTGAAGTTGTAAAGAGAATTTTGGAACACCCTGTATATATCGACCATATCAACCGTCAACTTTGAAAAGATACACCGTCATAAAATTGAGTTAACATGTCTTATATACTAGTGAATTAGAATTATATTTTCGTAGTGGTAGACACACTACAGTACTCCCCCACCAGAATTATATCTGTGATAGAATTCAATGAATGGATACCACTAGTTGATTCATTGCTGTTTTGTGAAATGCCGGGAGAGCTATATTAAGATCACCGTACTTTTAAGTGCTGATCTTGAGAGCTGAAATAAGTTCACGGTTGTGGTCGTTCCTGTGTTGCCTTTAACAGTCGAGTGTATACGTTGTGTGTGATTGAGACTGAGTAGCAACAGCGCAAGGAGGTGGACCATGTCGCAGTCACAAGTCAACTAATCAATGTGGACAACCCATCGAAGTAGGCGTGTTCAAATCGAAGTGGGAGTTTCCCTCAAGGTAGGCGTATTCGCATCACGTCCGGGTCAGCAATGGGGGGGTAGTATATATCGACCATGTCAACCTTCATCTATGAAAAAATACCTCATCATAGAATGGAGTTAACATGTCTTATATACTAGTCAATTGGAATTGTATTTTCGTAGTGGTAGACACACTACTCATTGTGGTGACTACTTCGACCAGCTAATGTAGGCACCGAGAATGCGCGGTACTGGTCCCCGTTAAACTGTTCTACCGTAAATTGCTTGGATTCGAGCTCAAGTCGTCGGACTACGAAAGCGGGAGAGCCTGCAAAGGATGATGGCATGCATGTCTTCGAATCAACCTCTGGGATGCGTGTTTGGATCGATTTCATCTCCATCGCTGTTAGAATTAACCATTTCCTAATAATAATTTTTAGCAAAACGTCACTGCACTATGTAGAGGTACCAAATTATGTTATAATTAATAAATTTTTAAAAATTGTGAGAATAAATGTAAGGATTGCATTTCAGATCCATGAAAACTGCCCTCCGGGATGATGAGTCCTACTACACTGCTGATGATGACAGCGAAGACGGTGAGAACATTTCATGACGTCATTAACATTTATTTATTCTATTTTATTTTTTATTTCAGAAGAATTAAATAATAAACTTGCTATTTCTATCTTCCAAATTTATGGCGCCTGCAAAAGAAATAAAAAGAAATAATAATAATAAAAAAATGACTATACACTTGTGGTTGCATTTTTCTTGTGGTGTAACTACCACTATAAATATTAAATACCAATTCACTGGTATATAAGACACGTTAACTTGTTTATACTTACAGGTACATTTAGATCAGTGCTTCCCAAAGTGTGGTACGCGTACCCCCAGGGATACGGGAATCGCAGAAGCGAGGGTGTGCATTCTTAAGCGAAATATCTTGCAACATACGAAAATTAAAAAAAAAAAAATTTTTGAAAACAAAGTTAGTCATGAAAATTTACGATTACGTATTTTTCTATTGGCAATTTTTTGCAGAATTAACAGTTAATAATTAGTGGTGTCAACAGCGAGTTGTGATTTTTAACTTTAGTGCAATTTCTTTATCACAGCAAAAACAATATCATCCTTCTCTCTGATGCAAATAAACTTATTAACAAAACTTAGTACCAGAAAAGAAAAATAAACATATTTTTAAAAAAATACATTCATTTTTTTATTAATGGTACTCAGCGTTACGAAAAATTTAGAAAGGGTACACAAAAGTTATAAGTTTGGGAAACACTGCTTTAGATAGAAGAAAATTGACAAAATCGATATTCCCTTAATTTTGACAGGACTTTTTATTTATCGGCACTGAATGTTAAAGAAGAAAAAAATTTATGCAATATTTGTTCTGAATTTTTTAAAAAAATTAATAAGCACAAGAGACGATTACTAATGAGCACAAGAGACGATAATTAATGAGCACAAGAGACGGTAATTAAAAAAAATTTTAGTGCTCTCTCAATAAAAGGAAGATTGACTGTTAGAGGGCTTTCTGGTCTCCCACCAACCACTTTAACCGATTTTAACTAAAATTCTGACTAATTGTAATTAAATACATTAACTAAAAAAAGTCAATGTCTCATTAACGTGAGTGACGCAGAGAACAACAAAATGCCAACAAAAGCCTCCATCTTTTTAAATCTCTCATGAAAGCTTAATATATCTGTTCTGTGTAGTTCTACATAAGTCTGTTAGTGACAATTTATGCTAGAAAATTGGGCAAGAAAATTATACTCTAAATATACGACGTTTCTAAAAATCAGCATTAAAAACAAAAAAAGCCATAAGCTACAAATAAGATAGAGGCAGTTAAAAGAAGCAAAGGATGTTTACCTACCAATTTTGATAAATAAAAAAAAAATAATTTTTTTTCTATGAATGTAAATAATTTCTATAAAAATCATCAAAATTAAAATTTTATAATTTAAATTCAACATTATTAATTGTATTTCATTTTTTAACCGTCGTTGAACAGCCGCCCCAATTTTGGGTTTACAGCCACTAATGTTCAACTCCGTATCCTTGTAATTTTGATCCCAATCCAGAAGACAAGGGAACTCCTATATCAGTACCCCCAGAGGTATTGATTTGTTATGGGAACTTGGAGGACTTTGTGACCCCGACAGATTTAACGCGCACCAGTCACCATTTAATACCTGAGGACTCTTCGGCCGGCTGTATTCGAACTCCCTTTCTCACAACCACGAGTCCAACGCCCTACCAACCACGTTATCCCGGCCTACATTATTAATTATAAACTTTGAATTATCCAGTATAATATTGATACCTTGCGCACATCCAGTTTCGGGCCAATCCAAAGTAACTAATAAATCAAGCGCGCTTCTGTACTTCAGTAAGAATGCGCCTTAAAAGGCATTCTCTGTTTGCGCTTTTATTTTCAGATTTTGTAATCTGGCAAACTTGGTACGAAAATATATTAAATCACTTTTGAAAAATGTTCAGTTCACACATCCAGTTTCGGGCCAATCCAAAGAAAATAATAAATCAAGCGCGCTTCTGTACTTCAGTAAGAATGCGCCATAAAAGGCATTCTATATTTGCAATATTTTGTAATCTGGCAAACTTGTTACGAAAATATATTAAATAACTTTTGAAAAATGCCCATAAGTGAAAGTACGCAGATTCGCTACTCGCTTTATATGTTACATTTTGTATTTTATTCTGTATTTTTATTTTCTCTTCTATATGTTTTATTTTCGCTTCAATATTCTCCTTACACTATTGTATTGATAGATTTTGATTTGACTATATTAATACAGTATTAGAAAGCACTCTCTTGGGCGGATATAATCGTGTGAGCTGAAGACGAAATTATACCTTTTCTTTCCGGATATTTTAAATTTTTTTTATTGCTTTTAAAAATATCTTTTCAATACTTTGAAATATTTTTTTTTTCCTTCTTTTCTTCGTATTTTCAACTTATTTTATAGGCTCTATGTACACTTGAGCAGGAAATAATCTGTCTCTAAGCACACCTTGTAAAGAAACCACTATTATTTATTTTCAGCAGGCTGCTGCAGTTATCGTTCCTCTGAAGATTCAGTTGGATTCGTGTTAGGAGAACACGAGAGACTGGATGACTTTAGAAAGAGAATCCGGAAGCGAACCAGGAGACTGCGGAAGCGAAGCAGTTACATGAGTTCGAGCAGTGATATGGAGGACATATCTGAAGCAGAAGAGGAAGTTCGATACATGAGAGTGGCCACATCAGAACCCTCACTGGTCTCGCAAATCAGCGGTAAGTTTTACAAGACTTAGACTAATTTATTAAACTCTATTGTAGCTTAACTGAAATCTGAAGACACTCAACAATAGAGCAATGAATTCATTAATGGTATGAAATTAAGACTACCACAGAAATAGAAATAAGGAGTAGTACAAACTCCTAGTTTCTTCCATCTCTTCTTCAAAAGCCGGTAAAAAGCTTAGTAGTTTAACAATTTTCGCTTTTTTTTATTTATTATTTTATTTATATATTTATTTATTTTGTTTATTTATTTTATTTATTTATTTATTTACTTATTAATTTTACTTATTTTATTTACTTTATTTATTTATTTCATTTATTTTATTTATTTTATTTATTTATTTTATTTATTTATTTTTTTGACTCTAAGGTGCAAGCAATGTCTCCTAAAAGAAGAAAAACGTTCCCACGTCTTAGCCACTTTGGTGAATGTCCAAAATATTTGTTATATCCGATTAATTAATTCGTTAATATTATTATATTTATTCAATATTTAAATATCAGCTGAGGATAGATTTAGGAAAAACATCAGTGTTGGGGGTACCGGTTAAANATATATAGGACAAAATAATAGGAACACCTGTGAAAAAATGAAAATATTTTACTAATAAGGAGTTGAGCCACCTTTGACCTGAATGACAGCTTGCATTCGACGTGGGATTGACAAATAAAGGTCTTGAACAAAGTTCATTGGAATTTGTAGCCATTCCTCTTGCAGGCCTGTCTCGAGTTCAGAGGTCAACTTCATCATTATGCTCATTTAATCATGTTTGAACACAGTGAGACGTGTGAACAGGGGCGTTGTCATCTTGGAACACAGGACGTTCTCCCGGAAAGAGAGTATGAAGCATAGGGTGAAGATGATCTGCAAGAATGCATCGGTAATGGTCCCCTTTGACCACGACCCTCAAGACAACGAGAGGCCCCAATCCACGGGCAGATATAGCTCCCCACACCATCACAGAACCACCTCCATGTTTCACGGTTGGAACCAGGCAGTCATCATGAAATGCTTCTGCCGGCGTTCGCCACACGAACACACGTCCGGTGGTCTGGAATAGTGTAAAAGAGGATTCATCTGACCAGATGACTTGTTCCCTTTGCAGTTGTGTCCATTTTAGGTGGTCTTGGCACCACTGTGGTCTCTTCAAAGCATTCCGCGCTGAAAGTAACGGTTTTGGAATAGCTACTCTGCCATGAATGTTAGCATGCAACTCCCGTTGAATAGTTTTCATGGATACAGGATTCTGAAGGTGGGTATTCATCTCGGATGTTATCACCAGCAGTGTAGTCTTGCGTTTTCGAGCGACTATCCTCTTCAACACCCGTCTATCACGGTCTGACAATTTCGACTTCCTGCCGCTGTTGTGCCTCGCCGAAGACACCTTACCCAACTTTGTGTATGTCGACAGAGTCCTTGATACAGTGGTCCTTGAAACACCTACCGCGATGGCTCAGGGGATAGAGCGTTCGCCTTTCAATGAGGCGAACCGGGTACGAATCTCAGTCTGTACGAAATCCGCATCCGGCTTGCACCAACCACAGTGTTGACGTGAAATATTCTCAGTGGTAGACGAATCATGGGTTAGAGTCCTCTTCCCATCAGGCTAACCGTGAGAGGTTTTCGTGGTCTTCCTCTCCGTAGAATGCAAATGCGGGTTAGCTCCATCAGAAAGTCCTCCACGAAGGAAACTTTCTCCCAATACTCGATCCAGGAGTTCCCTTGTCTGCTGGATTGGGTTCAAAATTACAATGCTACGGAGTTGAACATTAGTAGTCGTAAACCCATAAAATTAGTTCGGCTGTTCAATGACGGTTATAAAATAAAATAAAAACATTTTAGGGAAACTCTTGCAAGGTAAATCCGTAAAATGTCTCTATTTAGGGAAAAGAGGGAAATCTTAGAAATTGTAATTGGTTTATTCTATAGGTCGCGCGATTCCCACAAAGAGTAAAGGGAAAAATGTCTTTACTTGAATGCATACTTGAGCCGAAAATAGATTTAAGAGCAGGATGTGGCTTTTTAAAATTGTGAGAAAGTGTTTCGATTGGAATAATAAATTAGGAGTTGTTTTATAGATAAGAAATAACATAAAAAGATTAATAGAAGCTTTTTATGTTATTATATAAATAAAGCGCCAATAATAAATGATGGATCTTTCAGAGGAGAAGACTCCATTGTTGTGTCAAGAGGCCGAAGTGATGATTCTGAGAGGACGTAAGAAGATTATGATGACCTCAAGCAATGGCCGTCTTAAAGCTTACTCTTATGATGGTGTAAATCCTAATCTTCCTGTTCCCTTCAAGGCTAAGTTCCGTCGGAGAACAAATGAACCCCTCGAATCTCTGGTATATGCTTCTTCAAATTTTAAATTCATTGTGGTCTAATGAATGATAAGCTTCAAATAAGAGAAGGGGTGTGTAGTTCTTTTATTTGTTAAAAGAAAAAAAAACATTTTTTATAACTTTGAGGAACTTATAATTGTAAATCAAAAAAATTTATGCATAGACAAATATAATAAAAGGGAGTAAAATCTTTGACCAATCTGTTGAGCGTAATTGAATTGAATGCTCCATTTTATTGTTATGGATTATTAAAATAGTATTTACATCATAATTATTAAATGTTTTTGCAGCAAAAAGTATAACAAATAAATGTTCAAAACGTTGAATATTCCTATTTGAACCTATGTATTTTGATATTTTCAGAAATTATGTTACACATTTATAATAAGAATAATTTGCCTTCGGGGAGGACTTTTTTTTATGGAACTAACTCGCATTTATGTTACATGGAGAGACAAACCGCGAAACCTCCCACGGTTAGACTGTCGGCAAGAGGACTCTAACCTATGATCCGTCTACCACTGAGGATATTTTACGTCAGCACTGTGGTCGGTGCAAGCCGGATGCGGAGTTCATATCGACCAGCCATTGTTCGAATTCGAACCCGGTTTACCTCATTGGAAGGCGAACACTCTATCCCCTGAGCCATCATGGCTCTTTATAGCTGGATTAACATTTTTTTATGTTTAAAAAAATCATATTACTGAACTCACAGTCGGCAGGCTCAGCAATCGTCTCAACCATTTCGAACGTTCACTAACACATGTAAACACAACCGCTGTGGTGACGTTAGAGCGAAACGGTATAGTTTGTCTAAAATAAGAACTCCTCCTGACATTCGTCTGGACCTGTGGCGGTGACTATGGTAACGAGATATGACTATTTCAAGTAGGGGTGCGGGGTCACTGTTTTGCAATGGTTTCGGCTCTGGTCGGCTGGAGAAAGGGAAGTCTTTTTCTTAGGTATATTGTGTTAGTCCTAGAGTGAAGCTACCCTCCCTAAAACGAGCCATTCTTGTTTCCATAGCACCAGACGGCCTCAGACTTTGTGACGGGAGGAGCTCTTAGCTTAGACAGACTATACTTACTTTCTGGATACGCCTCGTTTGTTCGTTCGACAAAAATAAATTTCGCCCGCCATGTATAAAAATACGACAGCAAAGGGTTACATCAAAAGATTCAAACATTTTTGCACGNAATCTCAGTTCCAAAAGGGACGTTTTCGAAACAAAATTTTGAAGAGATGATAAAAAAAAAAATTCATCACATTTATCTTTGATTTTGATGTACAAGGTGCAAAAATTATGAAATACTCAGTAAAATGCCCGAAAATTATGAAATCTAAAATTATTTGATTCTGAAAATAGTTATTTAACAAATAATATTTATAAAAAGTAAATTAAAACTAAAAATAAGAAAAAATACTTAGTTATAATTTAATGTTATGAAATGTCAAAAAATGGTAGCTTTTAACCCTCTGCGGTCGTATATTAGCTATTCCAAAGCTTTTTTTTTCCTTAGAGGGCCAAGGCCTACTGTGCCCATCTCAGTTTTCTTGACCTTGGGCAGGAACAGATGTTCCAGTTAGGTCCAGTAGGAACGCCATCACCACATCCTGTTACTTAAAAAATTAAGTCTTTTGAAGGTATATGAATACCAAACAATATTTAACGTTATGTAATAGAGTTAAAGAAAAACTTGGCATGTTTCAGAAAAACTCGTATGAAACAATAATTTTTTTGGGGAGCAAGTGAAAAAAAACACACGGTTCAAGAACAAATTGTGAACTGAAAGTGCCACCGAATGGTTGAATGAGGTTTTGATTGCAGCAAAATGAATTGAATTTTCCCACCATTAGTCATTAAATTTTCACCATCGATAAATTTAAGATAATTTACAGCTGGATTTTATATTTTAATTTTATAACCGTCGTTGAACAGCCGACTCAATTTCATGGGTTTACGACTACTTATGTTCAACTCCGTAGCCTTGTAGTTTTGAACCCAATCCAGAAGACAAGAAAGCTCCTGGATCAAGTATTGGGAGAAATTTTGCCTTCGTGGAGGACTTTTTTGATGGAACTAACCCGCATTTGCGTTACATGGAGAAACAAACCGCGAAACCTCCCACGGTTAGCCAGACGGCAAGGGAACTCTAACCCATGATCCGTCAACCACTGAGGATATTTTACGTCAGTACTGTGGTCGGTGCAAGCCCGGTGCGGAGTTTGTATCGACCAGCCGTCGCTGGGATTCGAAATCGGTTCACCTCATTGGAAGGCGAACGCTCTATCCCCTGAGCCACTATGGCTCTTTACAGCTGGATTAACATTTTTTATGCTTAAAAAATCATATTACAGAACTCACAGTGTGCAGGCTCAGCAATCGTCTCAAACATTTCGAACGTTCACTGACGCATGTAAACACAACCGCTGTGGTGACGTTAGAGCGAAACGGTATATTTTGTCTAAAATAAGAACTCCTCCTGACATTCGTCTGGACCTGTGGCGGTGACTATGGTAACGAGATATGACTATTATTCAAGTAGGGGTGCGGGGTCACTGTTTTGTAGCGGTCTCGGCTCTGGTCGGCGGGAGAAATGGAATCTTTTTCTTAGGTATATTGTGTTAGTCCTAGAGTGAAGCTACCCTCCTTAAAATGAGCCATTCTTGTTTCCATAGCACCAGACGGCCTCAGACTTTGTGGCGGGAGGAGTTCTTAGCTTAGGCAGACTATACTTACTTTCCAGATACGCCTCGTATGTTCGTTCGACAAAAAAAAATTTCGCCCGTCATGTATAAAAATACGACCGCAAAGGGTTACATCAAAAGATTCAAACATTTTTGCACGGTTTCACATCAACTATCTAGTTTTGTATGCCAAAACTGACCATAAACCATCTACTCTGTAATTGTAGGTAGATAGAAATAAAGTGGTTGTTAATGATGGAATGGGCTGCCTAAGGGTGATGATTCTGTGGTTGGCAGCTAGTGTGTCCGAAACAGAAATTTCCGTCGTCTGTTCATCAGAAGAAGCAGTGTTTCAGGTAGCCACATTTTTTAAATTTCATTTCTCGCGAATAAATTTTATATTTTGCCATTTAAAATTATGTAAAAAAAATTTCTATACCGTACAAATCAATTTTTTTTTTATTATTATCAGAAAAAAGTTAAAAATATTTACTGAAAGTTATATTTTGAATAGAATTATGTTCGGATAAACGAATTTCATGATTGCTTGCAAAATTTTTTCAATTTCGCCTGAAAAAATTCACAAAAAATAAAATTAATAATAAGGGATCTAGACTATTGGGATCATATTTCTCTGATTGCGGCAACCCCTTATATTTTGAGGGTCAGAAATTTTAATCAGTCGAAAAAAAGGTATGTTTATTCCGAGAAAGTGCATTCTTGTGTCTGTTTTTCTTACTTAAAATATCGCTATTAGATTGCAGTTTTTGCTATTTAGAATAAAACTAACATAAATTGGATTAATTAATCGATTTTTTCGATGTTGTTTAATAACATTCAAATAATATTTTTGTACACCTTTACATTGACCAAATATTTCTTTATTTTTTCAGTATTATGTGGATTATTTTATGAACCTAGAAAAAAAATGATTTCTTTGCATCCTTTCTCCCTCTCAATAAACTAGTCAAAAATAGTAACAATACTAGGAAAGCAAAAGTAAAAGAACTTTAACGAGGGAAAAAAATATGGCAAAATTGTAATTCAAAATTTTCTCCCCAAATTCTATGGAAAATAGGTAATTTTGTAGACAATTTTTCTTCCCTCTGTTTATTTAGCTGTTTCAACATCAATTTATCACACCCAAATCAAAAATTTTAACTTTCTATAACTAATATTAGAGAAGCCCCTAACATACTAGAGTTAATCTCAGAAAGAAAGAAAATTTCAAAAGAAAAAGCAATTCAAAAACATGAGGCTTAACAACTAATTGACTTTTCAAACCGAAATTTACCATTAACGTTTTATATTATATATTATAATTTTGAAAGAAAAGTTAAATAAAATTCCAAATACAAATATAACTATGTGAAGCATTGCAATTAAAAAGAACCATTTTCATTTTAATAAATTTTAAATTTATCACAAAAATTCATACAAAATAATAAAACGTAACAGCAGTATATAACTTTAAAAAATCATAATTATAAAAATAAAGATTTTAAATAAATCAAAACATGAAGAAAGATTGTCTGAAAATGTAAATGGAAGCTAGTTCAGAAATAATAGACAACTAACTGTTCCGGATCGTTCGTATAGTCAGTCGTTCTACCTATTAAACTCTTTGAGGATCTCAACGACTCAAAAATACAAACGGACCTGGTCGTATGCTTTTTCAATTTGTTCTGCTGCCCAATGTTACTACTTAGAATGGCCTTTTTTTTATTATTTTTATATTATCGACAGTTTAATATTAGCTCCTCAGTATTTAATTAAAGCTTTAATTCGATTATAGGCCGCTCAGATTGGAGCTTCATTATTTCACTTAGGAGCTTGTAAGAAAAAACAAAACAACCATGACTTATATGCGCTTTTTTAGTTAAAAAATTTGTTTTTGTGTGATTAATTTAATTTTTTCTCTTTCAGACTACCAAAATTTGTTCGAGGATAGTGAATAGGAAATGGACTATTGGGGATTTGTGCAGTGAGATAGTTCAACTTTGTCGTTCTTCAAGTGATGGTATCTACAAGGAAAACATATTTCTAGAAGAGCTTTTAAGAGACTAATTAAGTGTTAAGCATACAAAACAATTACATTTTGCCTCAGACTCAATGCTGATATCACGTGACGAGTGACGTGAGGGTGAAGTTATGTCAATTGTCATATCACACATTTTAGTCAAGATAAAAACATTTAAAACCATCAGATTATATATATATACAGGGTGCGTAGCCAAATTATTCAACGAAAAATAAGCACCTTTTAAGGACTTTTCAAGCACTCAAAAAATATTTTTAACCACTTTAAAAAAATTACATAGTTAAGCAGGGTTGGAAAGTTTTTGACAATAGACGGTTTTATCTGGTTTTAACCGTTATGTCAAAAAAAAAAATCTTTTTGGCATTGTTTTCAACAATTGTCAAAAATCATGAAATTTTGAATCATGTAAAATAAATGACGCTTTCATACGCTACGGACTAACAATACGCCGAAATAGATTGGTTTGAATTAATTGTGAAAACGTTGAATAGAAAAATATGAACTGTGTCTTTTTGCATAATTCGTAGTAAAAATCAACATGGTAAACGGAACATGGAATCAACATGGTAAAAGGAAAAATCTCATTTTGGAAAAGGGAAAGTTAAGCACTTTTTAAAAACACCCAATGGAAAAAGCACCTTTAAGGGTTTTTAAAAATCGATAATAAGCACCTTTAAGCATTTTTTAAAAATGCTACGCACCCTTATATATGTATATATTAGATCTTATTTTGCATGGAAAAAAATTTATGCTGATGAACTACCTTAAAAAGAAACCTTCTTTGGCATTTACACTATTAGGAAAAAAATGATGTGGACCAATATCTCAAATTTGGAAGAATTTCAAAAGAGAGAAATAAATAATAAATAGTTACCATTTAATAATTCAAAATATTATACTGATCTCAACTGCTCTTTTTTGTTAACATATTATCACTATTTTACAGTAAATTTTATTATTTTGTTATAAAACTAATCTTGTGCCATACGAAATAATTACACGTATGATCATTATTGTTATTCTCACGAATGTCATTATAAAACGTGGATAAAGTTTGAAAATGATCTATAACTTCGTAGCTCAGAATTTAACGTACCAATAATCATAATGAAATATAGGGGTTAATGATAAGGTTGGGTAGGGGGTAAGGCGAAGTGTCACACAAAGGAATAAAAAAAAACATTGACATCCATTTATGGGCAGCTGGACCCTCACTAAGCATTCGCCACCTCGCTAAATGCTATAAAATCGTAAATTCGGTGAATGAAATCGTGTTTTGGGGAACGATTTTTTTCTAGATCCAGAAAATTACATTAATATGAATTTTTCTGAACAAACTTTGTATTTTTTAATTCGATTATAGTGATTTCCATTAAATACGTCGCATAACTACTTAATTAGGATTATATTAAGTCCACATAATGTTAGTCACAAGAGATATTGTGGGGGATCGATCATTAGACAATGCCAACATCCATCCGTAAAGTACCTTAAGACTCAATCAAGTTAGAATATCTTATATACTAGTGAATTGATGTTTAACACGAGAAAGACGGAAAATTGGTATATACCTATATTAACTAAAAGCAGTCAAAATGACTGGATTGTGAATGAGTAAATAAATTTGTTTAAAATTAATTTTTAAAATTTTTTGTATTATTTACAGTTATATAACAAGTTATTAGTAAATATTAACAATAAAAAAAAATTATATGTAGCACAAAAAGATACAAAATTCTAAGTTACAAAATTCAATATGCATCATTGTTTTTCTAATTGAAATTAAAAGCAGTCAAAATGACTTCCTTAGGCAATCTAGTGTTAATAATTGTAGTGGTAGTTACGCCATAATATTGTGTAAGCAGGGGGAAAAAACATTAACTACACATCAGTTTGTGTCAATAAAGCAGATTAAGTGGTAGCCCCCGTAGATGCATATTATTGTCCAAAAAATATCAGAGTAGTTTGTGAAAACCAATAAAACAGAGTGAAATGATTCAAATAACTTATCTTCTACAGCGATCCTCTTTTCTAAATTATTACAAAATAAGTGAAATGGTAAAAATTATTTATTAAAAAATAAAATTCTTAAAGTATGAAACGTTTTTATTTAAAATGAAATATATTTATTTAAAAGATAGATCGAAATATAAAGAAAAAATATCAAATGTTGTTTCTAATTTATATTACTACCCTAGTGGTGAGAAATTATCAAAAATTAACCCCAGTCGATTCTTATTTCTTTTTCTCAAAACCGATAAAACATCTGCATTTTTAATCCTCTCTCCATTTATTGCTAAGTTCACTCCTCCGTAACTGTTAAATTACTTTTGATTTTGATTGCATTTTTAAAATAAATCAATTTATAGTAAATTTGTATTTTGATTAAAAAATTTCTATTAGAAAAAAACTAATCATAAAAATTTGTTAAGAATTGCCTTTGGCTAAGACTAAAGCAGAAGCTTTTAATTGTGTTTCATAATCGACGACACTATAACGTCATTATAATTTAAGTATGCGTATATATACGCTAAGTTTGAGTATATATACGCAAACTTAGGACACTTTTCTGCAAAAAATAAATAAAGTAGAAAAAAAAGAGAAAGGTCACATTCTAAAAAATTATAAAAAAAGTTTACTTTTAGCTATAAAACTGACTTTAGTGAAGTGTTATAAAAAACGAATATGATGTGTTACAATTAGCCTCAAGAATAAATAATTTTACATTTCTTTTTCATATTATAATAATAAGTTTTAGAACAAAAAAATTACACCAAATGTATGTTTTAATAATTGCATGCGGAGTTGAACATTAGAAGTCGTAAACCCAAAATTGGGTCTGCTGTTCATTATATTACATCTATTACAGGGTTCCCACTCAATTTCAGAAAAAAAAATTTCCCCGACTTTCTTAGGTATGCCAGGTAAATTTCAATGAAAATCCGTACCATATTTTATCTATACCATGCAATTTTTCGTCAGAAATTTTTTTATTTGTCATGTCAAAGAATTAGATATTGTGTACAAAAACATATAATAGAATTAGAATGGAAACATGGATAAGTTTCACTAAAAAGTAAAATGTTGTCAAATAATTGTAGCAGATGCTAAAATTATTTAACTCTTATCTCAATAACTGATTACTGTTACTGACAATTCTAAGACTGGTTATTTTCCAGGTATTTTGTAAAAAATTGCAACTTTCCCTGACTATTCTCTGTTTTTTAGAGCTAGAATAAAATTCTCTGACAACTCCGGGTTTTCCCTGTTGTCCCTGAACTAAGGTCTATTGTTATGTGGATAAAAGAGGGTAGTAGTTGCTGCTCTGCACATCATATCAGGTGTCTCTAAAATTACTGATGGATTTTGAAAATTAGAACAGGGCATGATAAAGGTGTATGTGAAAGAACAAAATCAATTCTTAGTAATCCCAACAGATAGAAAAATTGTCATTATCCCTGTACTGGGAGTGAAAATCTGCTGATTTAAGACTGAAAAGTAATCATATTCGATAGAAAATCATAAAATACACATCAATATTTATAAGTCAAATTTTTAGGCGAAATGGAAATAGCATGATATGCAGTGGAAGAGGTAATAAGTTCTTCAATAAAATCTCCCATAAGTTACCTTTCCATAGCTGCCAACTCTACTGAATTTTGCCAGTTTTTCCTGGTCTACTGGTTTAATTAAAATTCCCTAAAATTAAGTAAGTTTCCTAAAAAAATCCCTATTGAAATAGAATTTTTGAGCAGATTATTGCTTGCTAGAATATTTATATAAGTATTACTAAGACATAATGAAGCGAACCTCATTTATAGAAATCCGTCCAAAACTTTTTTTTTTCTTCCAAAATGTTCAGTTTATTTTTATTTAGAACTCTCTTTTTAAAGTAAATAAAAAATATCTTATCTAACTATCTTTGATGAATTAAATGTCGATTAATATTCAAAATTATGAGTAAATATAATACATAACGTTTCAAGTATGTTTAATGTCAATCATAACTGGAAAAAATTGCTATTTTTCTATTTTGATGAGTATAAAAATCCCTATGTGTAAAATATTTAGTACATTATGCAATTTATATTATTATCATGAAATTTATATTATATCGGAAAATCTACTAGATTTTTTCCTATCCATGTTGGGCCTTTCACTATTGTTTATTTCACCTTATTATAATTGTTATTAATTTAAACTTTCCGATTCTTGCCATTTGGAATCATAAAACACTAGAGTTTTAATTAGATCCTTCTATAAGCATAAAAATTCGATTTTTCAACAAAGAGATATATATTTTTAAAATAAGAAGAATTCGATCTATGTTCAATAGTGTAATTCTTCTTACTTATACACTTTGGTAAAAATAAAACTCAGAATAAAATTGTGTTAATTCATTTTATTTAACGCTCCTTTTAACAACAACAAATGAATAGTAACGATTCTTGTTAATGTAAACTATTACAACATAAATAACAACAATAAAATACAAACTCAAAAAATTTCTCATTTGCAGCAACAAAACGTAAAGGAAATATATTGATAAACATGATTTAGTTCTGTAAATAAATACATAACTAAGCATGCACTTAAAAAAATTCAGAAGAAATATTGAAAATCGAACACTTAATTATCGTAACATATACATTCTTAATACATCAGGATAACATACATGACATAAAGTGCCATAAATATATTATTTTTATGAGCAGTAGAAGTGATACATAAAGATAATATTGTGCAGAAATATTTAATATAAATATTTTCTTCAGAAAAGTTTATTCAAAAAGTTGATACATAAAATTTTAATATCGTAGAGCGCCATTTATAAGATCACTGATTAATCGAATTGAATGATAAGCAAGATTGAATAAGTGCATCTTTTACCTAAGTGCTCTAGTTTTTTTTCCTACAAAAAATCTGAGAACAAGTTTAGTAAAAAACCTTAAGATTAGAAATAGAAATCCAAAAATTTTATGTGCATATTAAAATATCAAAACAATCCCTACATTTTGAGCAATAAAAAAGTATGCACGAATTAAATATCTTTTGAATTTATAGTATCAAGGTTTTAATAAAAATCGATGCATGATTATTAGATTGCACGAATGTGAATAGCGATAAGAAAGCACTTAGGTAGCATAGATGCATGATTATTAGATTGCACGAATGTAAATAGCGGTAAGAAATTTTTAATTCACTGAATTGCAATTTGTAACTTCAAAATGTGTGAATACAGATCATGCGTGAATACAGAAGGGTAATTTTGAAAAGCAATGTGCCATTTTAAATTTTATGAATGTTGTTAATAACTTTTATAAAGGTAAGATAAAGTGTAAAAAATTAAATTTTTGAATCGGAAAAGCACAATTTTTATCAAAAATTCTGAAGTTTTCTTCTTATGAAATGAAAGGGGGAGGGAAGCAGAATTTGGTCAAGAATAAGAAAAAATTATCTGAACCCTGAAAAATCTATCTTTGCCTTCAGATTCTCTAAAAAGGATCTTGAAGCATAGAATCTCTAAAAGACTGAATTGAGGAACAAAAACATTAACAGCAAAGCACTTTAATTGGCACGCAATTACATTAGGTATTAAAAGCAAGGCATTCTATTTAAAATTTTATTTAAAAAATTGACATTGCTATTTTTTTTTGAAGTTGTCCAAATATCTGGATTTCTCGTTAATCAGATCGGTCTGATCAATGGCTTCAGATAATCAATGCAAGGCGCTCTACAACACCGAGAAAATGTAAAGGATAAAAAAATTCAGCTAAACTAATTGAGTTGAGGTGTAAAATTGCAGTATAAATATATATATATATATAGACATGTAAAGAGACAGAGTAGTACATTATAAGAAAAATAGTAGATTATACAAAATAGAGAAACATGAAAGTTTACAAATTAGGCACAATTTAAATGAGGTCACACACTGGCTCAGTCCATTTTCTAATTTTTTTTTTCTAACGTCTTTGAGGAATATTGAAAATATTTTTCACATTTTAGTTATTTTACATCCGTCAATCGTTTTTTCGAAATGTTTTTTTAAAAAAATTACTACAATAAATTTAGGAGTACTTAAACAAAAATATTTAAAATTTCAGATACAGGCGGGTTTTTTATCTATTTAAAGCAGTCAAATTTTTAGAAAGGGAAACAATGCAATCCAAAGTTCTCCATGATCAAGAAGCTTCAGTGATTTCTAATGTATTTATAACTCTATCTAGGAAATAAAGTTATAACAAAACAAGCACTAGTAAATGTTTTTTCTAATCACCAACCAAACTAAAATTAACACCTTTTTGCCTCAAAATCCGAAATAGTTCTTTAATATGCAGAAAATATTTTGAATACGTAAGCTATTTTAAAATAATCATGGGCTGTTTAAGCAATATTTATGTAATCTCAAATGCCCATAAGAGATTTCTGGTTTCTCCTGTAAAATTTCAAAAAAATGGACAAAGCCAGTTTTAAATCTAAAGACCTCGAATGAAATGTGATTGGCATTAAAATATTTAGCTGGAGAACCTTTTTAGAATAATTAAAACATTGATATGCCTTGCAGAACATTGAGACACTATTAAAAGGAATCAAAGAAATTGTAAAAAATTATACATTTCTTAAATATTAATTTCATATTTTAGCAATTAATTAGCATAGTCATTTATTAGAAAATTGTATTTCAATGTTATTTTTTTCCGGAGTTAAAATGAGTAAAATACTGATTGCTTACATTTACTGCACTATATTTACTATATAAAATGAACCAAAATTACGAATCAGAAAATACCTGTTAGAATTTGAATCATCACTTTAGAATCATTTTTTTTCTTTTTTGAAAAAAAAAATTGGACTTATAGCTGGTTGACACTCAAATTAATTCTTTTTCCCTGATTTTTTTTTTTTTTTTTTTTTTTTTTTTTTTTTTTTTTTTTTTTTTTTGATACTTAAATTCCTTGTGGCATAAATGATTAATAAAAAAGCATATTTATCAAGAAAACATTCATTTTTCTATTAGATTTTTTTACTAGAATACACTAATTAATCAGAGTATTTAACTAGTGCCCCATAAATATATCATACTGATTTTAACTATGATACAAAGTTATTTTTGTTTTTTGCTTTGATGTAGAGCAGAAATGCTGGTATTTCATAAAAATTCAGTTTTCTATATTGGAATCAATAATTAGAAAAAATTCTTGATACAATTTAAATTTTGATTGAATTATTTCAAAATTTTGATTATATTCATTTAAAAATTTTCAAACTAAGAAGAACTAGTTTGCAATGTTGTTAATGTGACAAAATTTGTAATACTTTCTTTGATAAATATTTTTAAAACATAACCTTTGTAACAGTTACAAACATAATTTGTTAATAACTAATCTAGATTATTTAATTAAGTTTAACAAATTTGTCTTTATTATTACGCTTCAAAAAAAAATATTTTTTTTATACAATTACCGCTATTTTTGTCTTGCTAATAATTTAATATCAACGTTTGCTCGAAAAGAAAGAAAGAAAGAAACTGAAGGTATATGATATCTAATTATCCTATAAGTATCGCATAAAAAAATAATTGGAAATATCCATTTTAATGAAGAAAACACTCTTTATTTAAGTGTATGTGATTAATCAGCAAAAGCATGCTATAACAGCTATAATTCACACTGGATTAGAAAAAAAAATTTATTAAAATAAAGTGTTTAGGGAAATCACAGCAAATTGGAATAGATACAATAAACACTTTGACATGACTAGGAAGTTTTTGGTAATGGAATTGGTGGATAAGAATAACAAAATAATACGGTGCTCAATAGTACTCTAAAAATATATATTATGTCTTTAAAATAAGTTGCTAAGATGTAAATAAAAAACATCATATAAACACAGAGAAGCATTTAAACATCAACAACCATCTTCTTGTGAATATCAGTGTTGCCAACAATCTGAAAAAATATTTTTAATGAATGAAAAAATAAAGGCAGCTAAGGATGACATAATAAAATACATCTATTTTCATAACTCAGCATAAAAATAAAATAATAATAAAAATATCATTCAATAAATACGTCATTTAATGCAAAAAAAAGAACTTAATTTTTAATTCTTGAATAATTACGACAAAATAATAACAAAACATTTCTAATCAACTGTTACAGTAAAATGCGTACTGATAAACAAATTCCACAGATAATTTCCAACATGTTTTGAAAAATTTCACCTAGACATCATTTTATTTGAAATTGTGATATTTTTTCAACATTTTATCAAGGAAAATAAAGAATTTTTCATTATGAAAAATACAAAAGATAACTAAAGAAAGTAGTGGATATTCTGGCCAAAAGCAATGGAAGCCATGGCAATTGCAAAATAAATAAATAATTAATAGGTAAAATAGTTAAGAAAATATCTTTTTATTTGCAACTGTCATTTTCAACATTTTGTCCATAAAAGCAAAGTAAGAAAGTAGATAAAACCTTACACAAACAAAATGCTAGTAATAGTATTTCCAGAACAAAATGAGTAATTGTCGCAATTCCATATAAAATCAACAAACAAAAAAATTTTTAGGTCAACAATTCAGATTTGTAGGACCATTTGTTTTCAAGTTAAGCAAATTTAAAGAGTAAAAACTTTAGATCTAAAAAGCAAAATTTTGTGTCGTTTTTAATAGCATTTCATAAAATATAGAACATGGTTAAGTAATGATCATTAAAAGGAAAAAGAGCATTACTACTTACACCACAAAATTCTTCAAAGCATATTTTTCCATCGCCATCTTTGTCGGCATACTGTATTGTCTTATCAACAATCTGCTGAAGCTGGGTGTCTTTCAAATTATTGCCAACCATCATCTTAAGTACAGTGAAAAGTTCCCCATTAGAGATGAAACCATCATTGTCAATGTCATAAATCCTAAAAGCAACTGGAAAAAAAATTTGTAGTCTTCTTTTTAAAGTGATATAATAGAGACTTTTGTAAAACCTCATGCTTGATAAGTATAATGAATGAGGTATTTTTCCATCCTCTTTTACTAAACAAACAACACAAACTAGAATAAGAATTTAGTCTGTCTTGCTTTGGAACAGATGAGTTACTCATTAGATAATTTCCTCGGTAGGTAGGGCTGGAAATTAAAGAAGACCACTATAATTTGGTCAACACAAAAAAATTATTGGCGGCCCCTGGGTAGGTAGGTACTTTATTTACATCGCACTAGAGCTACACGATGGGCTATTGCCAACGGTCTGGGAAACATCCCTGAGAATTATTCGAAGACATGCCATCACAATTTTGATCCTCTGCAGAGGGGATGGCTACCCTGCTTCGGTAGCATGACGACTTGCATGCAAAGACAAGTACTTTACGGTAGAACAATTTAGCGAGGACCTATACCACGCACAATCAGTCCCTACGCGGGCTGATCAAAGTGGTCACCCATTCGCTTACTATCCCGCTTAAATGACTAAACTTATCACCTGCTTAAAAATGACTAAAATCAATTAAAAAGTGATTAAGAGTGACTTAATTAAAAACAGTGTTAATATCCAGGCAACATTTTACTAGCCTTATAAATATACAAGTTTAAGAAAAAAATTAATTTAGAAACATTAATATCTGAAGAAATTAAATATAACTTTAAATTATTTTTTAATTAACTACTATTAAAAAAAATTACACAATAAATATTCTCGAATATTTCCTCACTAAAAAAAAGTGTACATGTTTAACAATCAAATTTTAAATGTGCGACTTTTTCAAAACTTGATAACTCGGAAACTATTTGACCACTTGCGCTCAAATTTTGTTTTTTGTCATTCAAAATTACCTTATTTTTAAATGATGTAAAAATTCTTATGCCTTACAATTCAAAACTTTTTGATTATTTTCAAATCAAATAAAAAAAATAATTGTTAAAAAAAATTTTTTACATTAAATTATCCTTGTTTAAATAAATTTCAAAATTGTGCACAAGCGATTTTTTTTCCAGTGAAATTTAACATAAAAATAACTTTTCTATTATTCCTAGAACTTCCCTTTACATTCTAAATCATGAAAAAAAAAAACTCAAACCAATATACACTTTATTATTGCAAAAAAAAAACAAAAAAAAAGGAAAAGACTATAAAAAATTGAAGCAATTTATGAACAATGAAAACAATATATAAAATATACACTTACATCTTAATTTTGATTCTTTATCACCTTTAACACTGAATTGTGATACACCTTCAATGAATTCTAATTAAAAAAAGGAACAAAAAGTATTCAATATACAGACAACAAAAATGAAAAATTAATACCAAAATAGTTATTAAGTCTTATAATTTTATAGTTGGTACACCGCCAACAATATCTTTATGCAAAGCTCACGCGCAAAGAATATGATATCACGATATTATATGTGCTTTTATTTCGAATTTTGCTGGTTAGCTACGATGTTTTATTGCATAAGAAAGATAGCTAATAGAAGTTTCTTTCCCCTAAAATTATTTTCATGTATTTTTTTAAATTAGGTAGTTGAAGATGAGTGAATCAATGGATAAACAAAATAAATTTCTATGATGCAATCTTGCATACATAATAGTAGTATATTTTATTCAAAAGGAAGTTGCATTGTTCATGCAGAATAAAATTGCGAAATAAACAATTGTCTTGCAAAACTTCAAAATACTCCTGGAAGTAATTGATTGTTAAAAGTGAAATAAAAAAAAAACTTAAGAAAGAATAAACTTAAAAAACTAATAAATAAGATATACTTAAGAAATTAATAATATATCACACCAATATGGTCAAAAAACCCAAAGTCTTTTGACATGATCGCTGAAGTGTCTTAAATATTAATAAAAATATAAAAGAAAGAAAAGTAATAAAAAAATCCAATTTTAACATGCTCTGCAGCAATAAGTTACTGGACAAGCTCAGCCTTGTTTCCTTCCTTCCTCAATGGCACGACAGCCCCGGGTGGGCCCTGGCCTTCTCAATCAACTTCCTCCAGGCCTGCCTCTGCCTGGCAGTTGTCNCGGAGGGGAGACACCAGACAAAGAGGAACACCCTGGTCCTCCAGGTTGGGGGTTGGGCTAACAACTCTACCCTATAAAAAAATCTTGTTGCGAAGTCTCAAGTCAATGAATCCGGACCGAAATTTAGAAGACGACCTGGCAAATCTTACATGGAACTGAGAATCGGAACTTGGAACATTCAGCCTTGTTTAAAAGTATCAAATTGGAACTAATTCTGCTCAAACAATACACCATACATTGGATATTTTCCTGGTTAGACTTTTACCAGGACTAACACTAGTTTTTACCAAGACCAGGCACGGTAAAAACTAGGTTTTTGCAGGCAAAAACCAAGGGAAAAACCTGGTAAATACTATTAACCTATGTTTATTTATTTACAGATATAATGGTTTATTAGTTACAACTGATTAGAATACATATTATTTCCATATTATATAACAAATATATTAATAATTTAATTATAATATAATATACATGTATATATACACTACCCTGCAATAAAGAAATATACACTTAGAGTTTTTGACATTTTTTTAAATTTCTCAAGAAAATACTTAAAGGATTAATTTATAAAATTAGAGATGTTTAGTTCATGTAATTTTTCATATTTAGCAATAAGATTTAAAGCTTTCAGAAGTTTGGGAGACGGACAATAAATTACGAAAGAATAAACACTATTCCAGAAAATCAAGCAATAAGCTTGTATCTTGTATTGATTAATTTAGTTGTTATTTTTAATAACTGCATAAAATTTCGTACACCGAAGTTAAATATTAATGAAGATATGGACATATTTATAAAAAAAAAATTTTAAAAATCTTGACTTACGTTTTTTTTTTCTTTTTTGCTATAACTTTATAAATATTCAATGAAATTAAAAAAAAAAAATTTTGGAGCAATTTAAAACTAATTTAAAAATTATTTATTTCAAATTCAAAAAAAAAAATTATTGAAAATTGTACAAGATATAAATATTTAAGGTAGTTATTTTATACTGAGCATGAAAAAATTTAGAAAAGTTTCTTCGTAACTTTGCAGTGAATCTTATTCGACAACTATTGAAAAAAGTATCTTAAAAGTATCTAGTAGTAATATCTTAAAATTTTAAAAAGTTTCAAGCAATTTTCTAAGCAGTTTTTGTACTTATTAAAATAAAGCTAAAAAAAAAAATCGAGATTATTCTACAAATTTTATTTCGTATAAGACAAAATTTAATAACTTACAATAACCATCCGGAAACCAAAATGTGATGGTATAAGGAAAGACCCTACTTTTATGGGGGATGATCCCCTACAATGCCGGTGCATTTTTGATCCATCTTGTTTAATAGTACAAAATGAAATTTGTAAAAAAACCCTGATCGTTTTGAACTTTCTTTCAAAAAGTACAAAAACTACTTAGAAAATTGCTTGAAACTTTTTAAATTTTTAAGATGTTTAAAACTTTTTTCATTAGTTGTCAAATACCGTTCAAAAGAAATACCTTAAATACTTATATCTTGCGCAGCTTTTTAACGATTTTTTTTTAAATTTTAAATAAATAATTTTTTAATTAATTTCATATTGATCCAAAAATATTGTTTTATTCCATTGAATATTTATAAAGTCATAGTAAAAGCATGCAAGTGAAAAAATTTTTTTGTTTTAATAAAAAAGTCCCCATCTCTATAAATATTTACTCTAAGTTTACGAAATTTTATGCAGCTATAAAAAATAACAACTAAGGTAATCAATATTAGTTGCAAGCTTATTGCTTGATTTTCTAGCATAGGGTGTTAAAATTTTTTTTGTTTTCTTTTGTAATTTAATTGTCTCTCTCCCAAAGCTCTGAAAGCTTTAAATCTTATTGCTTAGTATTAAAAATCGCATGAACTAAACATCTAAAGTTATAAAATAATTTTTTAAGTGTTGCTTGAGAAATTTTAAAAAATGTCAAAAACTTAGAGTGTCTTTTCCGTTATTGTAGGGAAGTGCATAGGTATATCAGCACGTAACAAGTCATTGGACAAAAGTGACGTGATGACCATTGACCAATGACCATTAATTAAAAATTAAAATCATATTTACAAATTACATTATTTATTGTATTATATAAAAAAAATTTCTTACATGTTTCAGAAATTTTGAATTTAAATTTGGTCGAGCCATTCTAAATTGCAAAAGTAACTGTAAGTCAAACTTAGATATAACTTCAAACTTCTTAAAGAGTTCTTTACGCAGTAATATGCCTTAAAAATGTTGAATTACAATATCTTGAAGAGACTATTGGTGGAATCATAGCAATACCTCACCAATACCAATTTGGCATTTTTGTGAAATATGATTTAGGATTTCATCAAAATATACTACAAAGTTTTTGTTATTTAATGACTTTTAAAGAATGCTTTAAAAAAGAGGAGCAAAACCATAACAAATAAGGCAAGACATTTTCATACGCCCTAAATTACATTTTTTCACAATATAATATATTTTTCCTATATTACTGAAGGCATTAAAGGAAGAAAGTGAAGCTTTAAAAGTTCTAAATTTACTTTGTATTTTGGACATTAAATTTAAGGATATTAGAGTTCTTCTATTATTTCCCCTCATTATTTTTTCGATACAAAATTCCATGTAGACGTTTTTTTCTTTACTTAAGTGGCACATCTTTGATTGTGCCTCTCTCTGTTCGCGCAGCTGGTGAGAGCTTGTTTTCCCATATTGCATTATAACTTTTTAGCGGAATTAACATTATGCAACAAATGGATTGTCTAGGCTACTGTCATCTATCCGGTGAAGAACATAATGACACATTCTTCAAATCTGTATTAAATACGCTCTTTTAGAAACAATTGAAAACTCACCCTCAGGCAACAAAACAGCTGCAGTAAACTACAACACTGCTACGTCAGAACAGATTGAATGTTGCCATTTCAATCAAAGTTAAATCGAGAAATTTAAGGCATCTAAGATACTACATAGGTAGGAGTTTCAGGAAGAGAGAAAGAAGAGCAGAGAAGAAAAAGAAGAAATGAAGAGCTTCTATAGTTGGGCAGCAGCTAGCTACAATTGCTACTTTTTCTTCTTTTGTGATGTGAAAGAAATCAGCTTTTTTTCTCAATGAGTTTAAAAACTGAGAAAAGTAATATTTCTTGTATTTGTTCGGCATCCTGAAACCCTGATTTCAGCGATATAATTATTTGGATTTTTCTGTTAATCGTATGGGTCTACTCTATCAGGGTGCGTAGCCAGATTTTTCAACAAAAAATAAGCACCTTTTAAATACTTTTTAAGCACTCAGTTAAGTACTTTTTCAGCACTCTTAAGTACTTTTCAATCCCTTTCCAAAAAAAATATCATAATTAGGATTTGTGCAGTAATAAAAAATAAAAAAATTCCTGTCGTTTAAAGTTCTTAATTTATAAAAATAAAATCAATAAAATTATTTTCAAAAACTTTGCATAATCATGATGAAATAACTAGTTTCTGATAAATATTGCAGAGAAAATTATGCACTTCTTTGTAATTTAGAACAACAATCGACACGGCAAACAAAAAATCTCTTCTTAGATAGAATATTAAGAACTTTTTACAAACCCCGAATAAAACAAACCCCTTTAAGGGCTTTTAAAAAATGTAAATCAAAAATAAGCACCTTTTAAAAACGCTACGCACCCTGTCTATGAATGTTTTGGATAATCAGCATTCACCTATATATTACAACCAGATCATTGACAAACTACTTAAATAGTAAATTTTGCAGTAACAAAATACCTTTGAAATCCACTTCCCCATTTCCATCTGTATCAAAGATTTCAATGACTCTCTGGACGAGTGGATTCTGTTGCAATTCAGGTAGTGACATGAATTCCTCCACACTGAGCGAGCCAGAGTTATCCAAGTCCAACTTCCTGAACCTTTTCCCCAGTCTCTTGATTTCATCAGCATCAACTGTCAAAATATTCTCTTTTTTTTTATTGTTACAAATGACATTTACAACTGCTTTTAGTTCATAAATGATTATTAGGTTAATTTTTGCCCATTTTATCATTAAAATTAAAATCAAGGTTGGTCAAAAAAAAAAATTAACAAAAATTTTAAGAAAAGTAACATGAAAGTTTAAAAAAAAAATTGCAATAAAGGAAAAGAGAAAAAAGCGAAAATTTACACTATGTATTGAATAATGAACCATAATTTAAAAAGAATGAATTATGGTTCAAACTATTTTCTTCTTGCGAACTGCAAACCTATTCATATAATTTCTACAATGCATCTTTGTTATGTGTTTCAGTTATAAAATGGGTTCAGGTAAAGAATTTGTATCAGCAAACTATATCAAAGTAAAAAAAAAAATATCAAATATAAAAAGTGTATTAAATGCTTAAGCATAATTACTAAAATACTTTTAGATTCTTGAAAATACTTTTTCATAACTCATTTGCTTCAATAATTCCAATTGTTAACATTTTTAGTTGGGCTTAGAATTATTATGCAAGTCAAAAGAATTTCTGTAGCAAATATTTTAGTTTTAACTTTTATGTCTGTATCTTACTTCATTTTTCGAAGAAAAAAAAAAAGTCATACTTTTGATGATTATATATATATATGTGCGTGAGTGTTTGTAATAGGGACATAACGAATATTCGGCGACTATTCGGTATTCAACCCTTTCTCCCAAATATTCGGATGGCTGAATATTTGGTCAGATATTCAGCCAAATACTTTTTTGGAAAAGTATTTTCGACAAAGTCTTTGTTGAAAGGGAATTTGAATAGATTTAATGAAGAATAATTTTAATATGCATTTGAATTTCTAATTTCCCCTACTTTTTCGTGTTCATTCAACTATTTGCGCACTGATGTTACGATCTATAAGAATAATATTAACTGAGAAATAACCGGAATTTTTAAAAAAAAACGTGGAATTCAGTAGCACTAGCTAAAAAGTTGAAAAAACGATTAAATTGTCAGATTAAAAGTAAATAATTGATTTGAGTTTCGAGTACAATTAAATTGTTTAAAAAACATCAGGATTTTTTCTTAATGTGAACATTTGTAGCTATAGCATGATTGAAATAGGGCGTGGATTAACAAGTTTAAACCTCAAAGCTTCTCTCGGATTAAGGGGACACGGGACCTTGAAATCATAAAATTTTCAAAAAAAAATTTTTTTGTTAAAAATCTAAAGATAGTCAGCCTGAATCATGTGTTGTTCAAATTTTTTCGATACGATGATTTTTTATGATTTTATAGCTATTTTTCTGAAAAGTGGGCGTGGCACTTTTGACGTTCCATAAGCTGTCTGTTTGTTTACATTGTAGTTATCAAGCTTATTTTGATTTTTTTTTATGTTCAAATCAATATTTCTATAAAATATTTTTTAATTAGTATAATGTGACACTGTTTGGCAACGCCAAATTAACTTTAACCGTACTTTTGTTTAACCGTACAATTGTGGGCACTTTGAATTCAAATGTATGAAATTTTCTAGCATGTTATCGAAATTCTGCAATATGCTTTTCCTATGTCAATGTCAATAATTTTTTTATTTATCTGGTATCAAATATATTATTTGTTTTATTAAAATTATAGAGAATAATGTTTTTAGTGTAATTTTTATGCACACAAAAATAATCTTTTTTCTTTGTTTCAAGGTTACATATGACATATTGATATGATGCATAACGAACAATATTTTTATGTAAAAATCGTTTGTATTGGTAAAAATTTAGCATTTATTATATTAAGAATACATCGGAAGTTCTTTTTATATTTTAAGCATGATATTATAGCTATTACAGTGAGTTTTAGTTAATTTACACAAAAAAAGTAGTTTTTCTCCGTTAACTTTTTTTGCATAATTTACATCTATAATTTGTCCCTT